TAGGTAGTGACCCTTTTTACACATTGAATGGATGGTGATCCATTCTTTTTCAGGATGAAATTCAACTCCTCAGCATAGTGTGTCATGAGCCTGTCTTTCCAATTTAATTTCCAGCCACAGGAATTTTTTCATCCAGCCATTTAGGAGCAACCCACTTCTGCTTCCTTAACTGAGGAAACTCTCACAAGTCTCTCCAGTTTCTTCTGTTCTGTTTCTGGAACATTCTCCTGCCTTTCCCTTTTTCTCCGTGGTTCTTATCTCAAGAATCTTTGTTTCTTCAAAGCCTTCTTCAGTGGAGTTAGATCCTCTGCTCTAAAATTTCTTAACACCCCAACACTTCACTTTAATTCTTCAACACTTCACTCAACCGTTCACGTGGGGAGGAGAGAGATTGNACACTTCACTTTAATTCTTCAACACTTCACTCAACCGTTCACGTGGGGAGGAGAGAGATTGATGTTAGCTTCTCCTTTTCTCATCTCTGTTTCAAAAAAACCAATTCCCCTTATGCTTCTAAAGGCTGGCTGGGGCTGGAAGAGACTTCAAGAAGCTTTCCCTGAGGTCATGGGCGAAGGTTTGGAAGATGGAAGGTGAAAACCCTGGCAAGGAGAGAAGTTCAGAAAGATTTCTCTGAGACTGGAGGGCTCTTTCCTATGGAGAACTCCAGCTGATGGATGCCTTGGGTGCCTCTGAGATGGAACTGTAACTTCGAGTGCCTGAGTCCTGAAAGCTCATGAGTTTGGGGAAGCCCCAGACTGTAGGGAACATAGGCTTAGACAAGGAGTCTGCTGAAGCTGACCAGGGTGGGATGAATGAAGGCTGTAACACCCTTTCCTCATTAATCTGTGCTGTCCGCAGGTTCTGCCCTCTGAACTCCTGAATGGACTTTAAGGAGAGTAACACATATCAGAGAGGGATTTCCTCCAGAATCCAGCTGATGGGGGCTTAGAGGACATAAAATTCAGTTGAGAGAGAAATAAAGGAACACACTCCTAGTGTTTAAAAACTACCAGTCTATTAAAAAGTTTAACGTAGTTGGCTATGATGACTACCTTTCTTCCCTCCTAGACTTTGAATTGTTTGGGGCAGAAATTGGATTTTCTGCATTTCCTTTCTTCCAGCCTCTTACACAATGCTTGGTAGCCTTTGCACCCTGAAAAATGTTTGTTGAATGATGCTAAATTTGCAAGCCTCATTTTAGAGTAGGTTTTTCTTTTTGTGGTAGATTTTCCTTTGACCACAAATTTTAAAATTTCATCTTAGTACAACTGCCATATAGATACTAAACCAATAACTGACATCTAAGAACAAATTCTTTCTTAGAAGGCCACACAACCGGCAGTAAATAAAGCTCTGAGAGTCATCACTCATATTTTGGGTGTGTAAAAATGGTCAGATCAGAATTTCTTTTATTTGGTTTTAATTCATGCCACTTGGGATCATTTTCCTTCCGTCGTTTATCACGTTAGTGAAATTTAGAGAGAATACATGTATTTAGGTTTAACCTGAAGACATTGCCCAGAATTTGTTCAGAAGTTGCAGGGAGGATCCGCTGATCCAATCACAAGGGTGTTCCTGGCACCCAGGAGGGCCCGTGTTGGAACAGTGATCGCTGCAGGCGGATTTGGGTTCTGCAGTGGGAAAGCGCCGCGCAGCGTCGGCGGCTGGGACGCCCCGGGACGATCTGGG